CAGATATCGGTGAACCCATTGACATGTCTGTTATTTGTCCGTAGGTTTGGCCGTTGAAACGGAAGTGTGTCATGAGGCATAAATCCAACATCTCTGACTCGCTGTGACTGTGTGTGATTTGAAACTTGACGACAAGCGACTATTGAAGCAAGCTGGGGGATGGTCAAGAATTGGGGGATTGAAAATGTGGGAGATTAAAGTAAAGTTGGAGCGGGATGATAGGGATGAAAAAGAGCAAGAAGGGGGATAAGAAGGCGGGAAAGCCTGAGCAGTAGCATCCAAACCCCTATCCACCCTGCTCGATGCAGCAGATAGGGCGCTGTTTATTATCCTCTGCGGCGACCAAAGCATTAAGCAATTGTTTGATGAAAGGTTCATTGCAAAGAAGAAACACGTGGTGTGATGTACAAAATCCACTGCAAAATTGTAGTAAATACTATGTGAGTCAGATAGGAAGAAAGTTCGGCACTAGGCTACATGAGCATAGCCTAGCCATCCGCCGACATGATCAGAACTCTCTGATGTCGGTACATATGGACGCTGAGAATCATCAATTTGATTTGGAGAATGTCAAGATCATAGGCAGAGCAAAAAGTCGAAAGCACGCGAGTTCATCGAGGCTTGGTACTCGGGAGAGAACTCAATCAACAGGCACTTAGATCTAGACACTGTCTATGAGACACTGAGGGTCAAAAGAATAGTCCGCCCTAGATCAACTGGACGAAGGAACATCATTGAGGCGGACTCTAGCCAACAGTACGGGAGAGCTGACTACACGGTCAGTTCACGTGGACCAATCGACTCCTGACGTTCGAATCAAGTGATCAATAATCACTTGGATCTGTGAGTGACGATGAAACGTTTGTAGCCAATTCAGCCAGCTCGGAGAACACGCACATCCCGAGCTACAAATATTCTCACCGATTTCTAAGACAATTCTTGATCCATCGGGGCAGCGAGCCACCAACACTGCACACAGCCTGTCGAGGAGCACTGCATGATCCACTTTGTCAAAACCTTACTGAAGTCAATGTAAATGGCGTCGATCGACTTGCCTTGGTTCAGCGCTTGCAACCATTCATACCTCATCAACTGTAGGTTCGTGATGCACGAATGACCTTTCACGAATCCATGCTGTGCGAGCATCAAGAGGCTTTTCTGCTCGAGTAGCTGCAGAAAACTCTTTATCACGATCTTATCAAGCGTCTTTGCCCAAAGAGCGGTCAGGCAGATCGGCCGGTAGTTATCCACTTTGCTTGGGTTACTACCTTTCGGTATTGGCTTTACGAGTGAGCATTTCCAGTCGCCCGGTAGTAGACCAGTGGATAGTGATCTGTTGAACAGTTTAGTTTCAGAAGTCGAGATGATGGCCGATAGGGACTTGAGGATCCGTGGGTGGATTCCATCTGGCCCGTCAGACTTCGTCCCGTCAAGACTTGTCAGAAGCTTGCGTACATCTTCAATGCTGCAATCCGGGCTGTCTAGTTTAGCGGGAGCGATACTCGTCGAACTCGATACAGGCACCTGGTCACTTGCAAATACTGAATCGAAGTGCCTCGCCACCGCGGACGCTCGATCTGTGCTCGAGGTTAGAGACTGTCCATCTACGCCTTCCAACACTAGCACAATGCCTGCAGGCCTCAGGCGCCGCTTAACCTTGGCGAAGATTCTCTTGGGAGCAGTTCTTGCGGCGGTTGCAAGCTCCTCTTCGAAGCTTCTGCGCTTTTTGTTTTCTCGTTGTTGCAGTGATTTTGCTATGCCTTGTACGCCTTGTAATCCTCGTCAAAACCAGCTAACACGAATTTGTTCCATTGTCTGCGTCGTCGTCGGACCATTTTGCTGTACTCCTGGTCGAGCCAATGTGGTTTGACTGGCCCAACTTTCCGATACTTGAGGAGTACAAATCGGGCTCACAACGATTTCACTCCCTCTTTAAGGATAGTCCAACAGGTTTCAACAGATGAATGCTCTGGTAACGACCAGTCCATCTGGCTCGCTGCTCGTGTGAGGTCATTAAGTCGAAGACTTGCTCCAGTGGGTGAGAATACGACAGCGGTAGTTCCAACCTGACTATGATCGTCGAGTAGTCACTCGCTCTCAGGGGCTCCAAGACTTGAGTGTCATGCACACGTTGCTCACAGCTGGTCAAAAACAGGTCTAAGCACGATGGAGTCGCGCGCTCAGTTATGCGTGTCGTTTGGTTGATGTGCTGTGGGGCCCCAGTTTCGAACTTCCTCTCGATTTCACAAATGGCCGGGGAGTAGTTCAGCCTCAGACCACTGTATTCGTGGTAAGTTGAAATCGCCCATGAGTAGGAAAAGCGGACGACTCGTGTGGTTGCGGGCATGCGGCCATCAGTCCAAGCAGCGGCTCAGTGGACCGCGATATACCACGCCCACGAGCATTTCGCAGCGTCCGTGAATCGAACACCATAACTGCTCACATAGACCATCAGGGCTTCGGTAGGTGCTTACTAGGAACACCTGATGTAAAGCAGAACGCCACTGTGGTCATTTGATGGTCTATCACAGCGGAAATACGAGTAGCCGCTAATTTCCACTTCTTTGACGGTTACGTCGGAGTATAACCATGTCTCAGCAAGGCCCAATATGTCTGGCCGCTGAAAGGTTACAAACTAGCACAGCTCATCGTATTTGTTCATCAGACGCAGACGTTAGTAAAGGCTACGCGCAGGTCGCGGTAGAAATATCTGGCCGCGCCTGAATTATCAGAAACCTGTTGACCCGGATTCGCGGAGGAATCCGGGTGACTACTTGAAAATTTACAATACAGAGATTTGTTTCTCCATCGTCCGTGCGTCGCTTTAGTTCAATCATCGCAGACTTGAGTTTCTCTCTGTCTACTGGGTCTAAGTCAGCGTGCACTTGCATCTTTAGACCTTTCAGCCTATTAAGGCGGGGTAATATTAACTCAGGACTTGCCTGTTCAACGAAGGTCACCCTCATAGATCGACCTCGGTTCTCTTTCCGAGACAATCGATCTGTTTCACTTTGAGCCCGTCTTCATCTACGTCGAGCAGTCTATCAAGCAGAATTTATAAAAACTCAACATCATGTTCATAGCGCACCTGAGGATTGGAATCGCAGGATTCAGGTGCATGAAATACCATGAGGCTGCGACGCCTCAGGTCATTGGACATTGTTCTTGGTTTCTTTGGTATTTGCATTTTCCATTCGTTATCACTAATTTGCTTATTTCAAATTAGAGCTTTAATGTCAACTGAAGAAATCGTAGGCGTTGAAGCCGAGCTTGCCGGAGCACTTTTCTCCGGGGATAGATTCGCTGCCGTACTAGGTGTTGGCTGTTTCTCTGATTGTGGTGCAGGGCAAATCGAGCTGCGCGTTTTAGCGCACTTCGCTCTGCTGATCCGCTTGTTAAGCTTTTCGGCAGCCTTTGGCGCAAGCTTAGACACCTTCTTTAAAATGCTTTTCAAAAAATCGTGCTGAATTCCTTGAATTACGCGAAATTTCTCCACAGACCGACCAATGCACGAAATAGAAACTTCACCCTGCATAAACTGCATGTGATCGCATTTGCTCGATGTCCAACGACTTTGGAGCAACTACAACAAAGAATCTGTTGAATCGCTTTACCATTTCAAAATAGTCACCGATCGATACGACTAACTCAGCGTAATGTAGAATCACATAAATTATGATAAACTAGTACAGGTGCTTATGATAAACTAAATCCAAATAACTAATGTGTGTGAATTACACAAATATTTATGGGATAAAATGACTTTAACAATGTAAAGGAGGAAGTAAACTGGCCTGACGAGGACACGAGCAAAATACGATATGAGTAGCCCTCAGCTCGTTCCTTATCGGCGAGCAGTGATATGAGTGGGTGCCGTTACTTTCAACCTCAACCGATTTCCTTCATACCACCGTCTGGTGTCTTTTGAACCTTTCTGAGCTCTACCTGGAACTTGGTAGCATTTTAGATAAACTTAACCGGTGCCGCACAACGCTGTACCATCTCAAAGCATCATTCACCCCTTCTCACGGGCTCTTTATGGTCTCTTGTCATTCAAAAGACCGTCCCAACCCTGTTTTAGCTTGGTTCGATGGTTTGATTACATCATCGATTCAATCAGCAATACTGCTTTTTGACACCTTAAGAGCTTTCCCGACTCTCTTGGTCGATAAGTACGGATTCAGGCAAATTCAGTCTCCGGCTCTCCTGTTTGGTTGCTAAAAACTCGGCAAAATTTCTTTTTGTGAAATGCTCCACCGTGTAAGCCTTTGCCCATCTTTTGTTCCCACGTTTAAGCTCCTAATCTGAAGAGATTGTTCGAAAGCTGTGCTCATTCTCCCAAGTGTGAACACCCTTGCAGCGTCTCGGCCAAGGTACAGCCGCATGTAATTTGTAAGGTGTCGTCTTATCCGCTCCACACAACAGGCGATCAATATTAATAGTGACACCAATAAATATAGTATGCGCTGGTAATAATAATGTGGTGGTGTAATATCAACAAATTTTGTAATAGCATGCGATGCTCAAGTTTGTGAGTCTAACTATCAGCTGTTTGTGGTTTTACAATGTGCGAAGTTATGCGCTTTACCGGATACACAGCTGCTAATTTTCCATTTCAAACACGGCGTCCTTCTTACGGTCACAGCACTTTGAACTTGTAGTCGGTGAGGACTGAATGATTAATCGATTTTTGCAACCTTGTCGCATTCGTACCAAGTCGGACTGTCTGCATACCGTGGCTAAAGATCTATGATAGCACATACTGCTTCGTGCATGGAATATAGTATTTTCCGTCTTCTTGTGGAAAAACTGCTGTCTTCTACTCGATTTGACTCTCTATTGCCTAGCTTGATTGCTCATCTTTTATGTCAATTCGTTTCGTCGGTCTTCTAAGCCCTCTCTGGTTTGCTCATCGGACACCATTTTCTTCTTACTTTGTAGTTTATTAACGCAGCTCTAATCTGTTTGCCTCGAACACTGTCTCCTCTTCCCTTTCTCAGATCCCGACAAGTTTGTCTTTCTCCTCTGCACCAAGGCCGGTGGCCTCGGTATCAATCTGACTGCCGCTGATGTTGTTATAATCTATGATTCCGACTGGAATCCGCAGAATGATCTACAAGCCCAGGCTCGTTGCCACCGTATTGGACAGCAGAAAATGGTCAAGGTTTACCGCCTGATCACCCGTAACACATATGAACGCGAAATGTTTGATAGAGCCTCCTTGAAATTGGGATTAGATCGCGCTGTGCTTCAGTCGATGGGAAGCAAAGAAGCAAGACAGGTCAGTTTTCTTAATTGTCGTCATTGTAGGTTCCCCTGTCCCCAATTACCAACTTCTTTCTTCGATAATTCAATCCTCTTCTTATTCGCCGTTTATCTTTTTTTCTTATTTTCTTCTCTATCCATCATTCTTACTATCATGACCACTCGGTCCTTAGCATTTTGTCGCTGTTCTGTTGATCAGCCGGTTCTTGTTTTCTTCCCTGAGCTTGACCACATTCCTTATGCAAATTCTCGCTGTTATTGAACCCGTCACTAGTTCACGCAACATCTGATTGCCATAGACTCTCACGATTTAACCATTTCTTCACAAATTTCTCGTTTTTTGTATCTTCCAGGCACAAATGAGCAAAAAAGAGATTGAAGAACTGCTTAAAAAAGGTGCCTATGGTGCGCTTATGGACGATGATCAGGCTGGGGAAGATTTTTGTGAACAAGATATCGATAAAATTCTACAGTCAAGATCTCGCGTCGTGCAACTGGAGCAAGGCGAGAAAAATTCTACCTTCTCCAAGGTAAATATTCATTACGTCCGACCCCTCGGAACTCATACTTTCGACACGTTTTTCTTAATTGTTTTCTACCTTGACCGTGTTGTGTAGCTCCGTATTTCGGATTTAGCGTGGTCGTCTGTCTGCACACTTTCATCCCTACGCACTGTCCACCCGGCGTTTGTGACCATGTATCTTCTTCAACGTACCCGCCGCTCTTTTTAGGCGACATTCTCCATGTCTGACAATCGAAGCGACATAGAACTAGACGATCCTAATTTTTGGCAGAAGTGGGCCAAAAAAGCTGGTGTCGATGAAACTGCCGGAGCCGCAAAGGTGAGTGCTCTGATTCTCTGCGTGCTGTCATCTGATTTTTGAAACGTTTGGTCCCCTTTATCTGATTTTTGGTAATAAAGGCTGGTCCTTTCAGTGGTTTGATGTTACTGCTGTCGAAATCACTGTCTACTCACACATGCACACACTTTTCATAGGCTCTTTTCGCTATTTAACTGCGTTTTTTGTATTTGCTGATTTTCCCATTGTTGCAGCCGTTGTCTCGACTTACCATTGGCTGGCTACTTCAGGACCCTTGCACTCGCTTTTTGTAATTAATCAGCTGTTTAATCATCAGGTTCTAATCCGAACGTGCGCATCTGCGCCGCATAAACCACTTACTGTCTTGGTCGCCTCAGGCTACTGTCGCTCTTAGTGCCTTGTGGCCGATTATTGCACACCACCTGCTATCGTTCACCACTCATGCTTACCTCTGTTTATCTGCTTGTTCTTAACGATCGCTTCCGCGCGCTTTTCACGCGAGCGTTCATAAAAATGAGCGTTTACGAAATAGCACCATATTCGTTGAGCTTTAGACATATTTGTCCACTTTTTATCCTGCCTGCAGTCATGAGTATTCATAGTTATCATGCACCGTGGTTTGTCCACCAACAGGATCTCATCCTCAAGACCCCACGTCAGCGTCGCCAGGTATCAAGGTACTCTTCGCTCGCCGCAAATGAGCCAAATTTCGCCAATCCTCCCAGTTGTGATAATTCCGAGGCGGAAGATGATGGTACTGCACAGAGCTCTGGTGAGGATACCATAGTCCCCGGATCCGGTGGTCGCGGACGCTTTCGTCGATGTCGCCGACAACGACGACACTCCCATCACCCGTCTCAGCTGTTTTCTGGTCGTCGTGCTAGCCATGTTTCCTTATCTGAGAATCCCCAAAGTCCCAACAACAAACCCCCTCGCATCGATCCTCTGGATCGCGCTGATTTGTTCCGCGTTGAGCGTTGTCTGCTGACTTGGCCATGGGGCCAATGGGAGAGAGGTCTGGCCAGCTTTCCTTTCAAACGCTCTCTGACACCCGTGGAGTTGGCATACCACGCCAGTGCTGTGCTGGCTTATGCACTTCGCTTCATGCCCCCTTCTGCTGACACCCGAATACGAACAACGATCATCACCCTCACTCGACCGCACATATGGAATCTAAGCATAGAAGAGGTTGCCAAAGCTGTGGCTAAAGCAACGAGCAGAGCAAGTCGAGGTCTTCGAGTGTTTGATGTCGTAAACGACAAGGAAGCTGCCGATGCTTCCCACACGGCAACTTTACCCAAATCTGAGGATTTATCGTGCCAAGTAGATGCTTTAGTGGATTCTCCTTTGACGAACGAGGCCCCTGGTACGCCGGCCTTGTCTGGAGCTGTCTCCGTTGATGCACCTCGCGAGTGTGCTGCCACCGCTGATAGAGTAACTGCGTCCCTTTCAGTTGAACACAGACACATGACGCCTGTTCACCCATCAGAAACTGTAAGCGCCTTGCCTGCCGAAGAAGAGCCCGTGGAATCACCGGCAAGTTGCGGATCCCTTGGGGACGATAGACTGCTCAAGGAGTCGTTCCAACAAGAAGCCACGCATACCTCACGCAATCAAAGTACTGCGGAACATATTGCTTCCGATTTGATAGAAACTCAATCCGTAACATCTGAAAAGCCGGATGACGATATCCCAGATACTGCTGCCGAAGAGAAGAGTAGTGACGTTGCGAATATATCTCCCAAAAGTAAGTTTTTGGCTTCTTTTTCCGGATCCTAATCTATATACTTTGTTCTCATGTACTTCAGACCTAGGTGCGATACTTCCACCCGCCCTCACTCGTTCGGTTCCGTACAGTCTTTTTCAATTATTAACACACAATGCTGTACGCTTCCACTGTGGCTCCATCAGGTCTGAATTTTAATCGTCGCACATGGCAGTGTCTTGTTCATCTTGGTATACGTTGTTGTCTTTCTTGTCTCATTGTAACCATGCGGTACTGATGTGCAAGGTTGTTGAACGTATTGCGGTCTTGGGCTCAAATCCAATCAAGGCACTCTCTTACACTAATTGTGAGCGGAGGGTTTTTGATGTAAGCCACTGGTATCCAGATGTCTTGGGTTCGATTCCTGATATGGCCGGGGCGTTACGCACTACTGACGTCACCCAATAAGGCGAAACGGCCGTCTAATGTTATGAATTACTACTCTATATGTACATTTTCACCATGTTTTCCCCACTCCTCGCTCTCATCCCGGCATCTACTTTTCTTTTTCCAGCCGCCTGCTTTGATCCGGACTACCTTCTACCTTGCGACAGTTTTCGCAAACACATGCAGCGGCACAGTGCTCGGCTGCTCAATCGGGTGGCATTTCTGCTATTCCTTCAATGTGAAGTAGTCGGGATCGAACAGACCGCGGAACTGACAGCTGGGCGTCTCTCGCACACCGACTTTCCCGATCTTTATGCCAGCCTCCCACCCCTTGAAGGTAAACTGTTGTATATAGCTTGTTTAATATGAAGTGTGACTGCATGCACTGTACTCCCTAAGTCTCTATTCCCTTCCGTCGATTAGGCCGGCACCTCGATGGCTACTTCTGCGCATCGTCAGTTGTTTAGCACACTAGTCGTATCTCGCTTACATGCAACACCTTGTGGACTTTTGTTGTCTGTCTCCGTTTACTGAATTCTAGCCATACAGTTTATATCGGCTTTCAACTATTCATGGAATCGCGTCCAATGTGGCTCCCCTTGATCTGCCACCATCATAGTTGTAGCATGTACCCAGCTAACGCCTCTTCCCAGGAATTCACTGAACTCTTGCAGCCGCATTTACTGTTAGTGGGAGCACAATGTGCACCGTGTACAGCCAACTTGTTTTCTGGCATTCTGCGGCTGCTCCACTCGACTTATCTAATGGGAATGACTTCTCTTCCTCCTTCACGCTTCAGTGAGCTTATAGTGACTGCTAAAGCGAAAACCCCATTTCCGTCTTTCCATCCCATTCTCCCTCACCATATCCGAAGGATCTCGTGAGGTTGTCATCAAGACGATGTACCCCATCTTTGTTGCTTTACACCTATTAGCTGTGGTAACCGGGACATTGGAGTATTACTCCTAACCAGGGCTGTCCCAAGTCTGTTTTGAATGTTTCAAGCCCCTTTATATCCGTGACGTCCATGTGCGGCATTTACCCCGAAATGCATCTGGTATAGTAAACTAAACTTCCTGCATTTTCGAGAGCAGATTCACCCTAAAACTTGGTCAGAAATCGTCTGCTTACAGACCCAGTCTCGATCATTTGCGGTCTTCATTCAGTATGCAGAAACTTTGAAGTAAACATGCTCATCACTGTAACCGGATGTCGTCTCAAAACTCCCAACTTATCTTGACAACGATTAGCTGGCATTATTTTGCTAGCCGTATGGTCTCACTTATTCGTTGTCAGTTCACCTTCTATCTCTTGACAAAGCAGTCCGTTTGAAACGCTTGTGATTAATGAGTTCACTAATCCTCTGAGCTCTATTACCTGCTATCGACGAACGAAGTTAACCGGTGTATCTGGAATTCTGTTCATTGAATGTGCACTTCATATCCTCGCACTTTTTAGACTACGACCTAATTATCATATATTAAACTATTTTTCACCTATCTACGTCAGTTGAACAGCTTTATTCCGATGCTTGGGCTGCACTTGAGTTCCACGTTCATAGCAATAATAATAAAGTTTATCAAGAGTCCATAAAAAGCATCAAAATTGTGGGCTCTGTGCTATAAGTCTGAACACGATACTGATGAGGGGTAGTCTGCTATCGGGAGCGTATTGGTTCTCGATTCTCATCAACATGGGCAGCAATACTACGTACTAACGCTACGCTACAGCAACAATACGAATCAATAGCGACCATTCTGCTGATAAGGAATAGGGTACGCTGAAAGGCGATTTAATATGACCCTTAAAACCATTCCGAAAGAATGCGGCGTCACTGTCGCTATCACACCTTTCGAACAACAGCTACAGCTGTCGTGTGCGGGAAAGGAATGCGACATCGACGCTGCAGCCTCGCGTCTCTCGTTGCTTTGCCTTCTCGGTAATGTTGGATATTTTTTGCATCGTTCCTTCCACAATCGTATACCTGTGGGATCCACCGTCGTCATCTAAGAGCGCGTCTATTTTCGTCGCATGACATATGCTGAAGATCACATCCATTCTCTCGTCAGTACATTACAGTTTGCCTACCTTTTAATTGCGACACCAAACTGTTTTGTGACGCATTTATTCTTCCTCTCCTTAGCAACTGCCGTCGTACATCCGCTGATGATAGCAATCCATTGTTTCGCCCATTTCCACTTTACACACTAAGACGACTCAGCGATCCAGAACTACCTAATCTTTTTTTCTCTCTTTATGCGTTTGTCTTTTGTGCACAGCCATTGATTCCGAACTTCCGGCTCCGTGGTGGGACGCATGTTGTGACAAATGCCTCTTGTTGGGAGTGTTGAAGCACGGTTGGGAAAAGTACATGGCAATCCGTTTGGACCCGAAACTTTGTTTCTACTCACGCGCGATTTCTCTCCTTTCCGATTCGGACGACGTAAAACCATCCGATCTGATCGATAAGTAAGCGGCGCCTCTCCATCACGTAGTAGACGCCAACCACGTCGTTGTTCACTTGTTGTCCGACGTATTCGTAGAACGACTTGGCCGTCGCAATTCGCTCAATACTTTTTTCATCACCTAGCTACGTTTAGCGTTCGCGCTGCAATTTATTGTGTTTCTGTTGGTTCTTACGAGAAGGAAATCAGCTTATTGATCGGTTGACCTGAATTTGTTTATCTCCACACACATACACATAGCTAGTGTGTTTTTGCTAACGTGTTTTGCTAGACCAGTTATCCATTAGCAACTAGCTGCTCGGTGACTGTATGTAAGCATCCTTCTGTTCTCTGTCACCCTTATGTCATCCTGTAGCATTAATTTTATTACCTACGACGTTTTTACTTAGGTTCGCCTCGTTTGCTATTCAATCCTTGAGCGCCTTAGTATTCAGCCTGTGTTGTTAGCTGTACGGTCGCCTAGGCAACTAATTGTGAATACTATCGTGAACACCAGCATTACTTTAGATTGCTCATTTTCTGGCCTTCGAACTTCCTCCACCTCCGGCCTCTGCTGTCACTCTTAGGTTTCTGTGTTAGTGCCCCATTTTACCCACCTCTTGTGTTCTTTTCATTTTGTGCTTAGTTCTGATTTGAAACAGCAACCGGCTTCTCCCGTATCCTCCGACGCTACTGCTAGGGCCGATGCTTCTAAATCGGATGACGAGTCAACCGCCGCTGCGAAGCTTGAGGAAGGCACTCGTGATCTGACGCCTCTTGTCGATGATCCTAAAGATCCTCACTCTTCTCCCTCATCACCCCTTGCTCCGAATATTAAAGAAGAGCGCTTGGAATCCGCTTTCGCTCCCGTTGATATGCTTATCGATGCGAAGGGTTGCGACGACCAATCCTCGGCGGCCGAGGATGAGAATGCGCTTGACGAAGCCCCACCTGATGCTCTCCTCTCTGTCCTCATGTTCCCTGCTGTAGCTGACCTCAACAGCCGTGCTCGCAAGCTCGTTGGCTTCTTTGTACGCATTAAAAACCAGCTGGAATTCGACATGCATCGGGTGAGTGATAGGGTCTTTTTCATCAATTGACGAAGGCTAGCTTCATTCCGTCGAATGAAGGGTTATTTTTTGCTGTCGCCTTTAGGTCCACTTGTGTTGCTCAGTTAGTCACGAAGTTAATTCAGCCTCACTTTATTTTGATACTCGTATCCTTCTTTTTTACTGCTATCTGCGTATCTGTCTTTTGCCTGTAGCGTCTCTCTGTTGAGGATGACGAGGATTCTCCCAGCCAGGTGCCTAACATTCGCCTTTCGGAAAACAGGGCTATGTAAGTGATCGAAGGGTGAACTTTTTTTCTTGATAAATGCCGTCACTCTTTCGGTTGTCGATGCTATCTCCTACTCCCTTTGTGATGGCGAAGTTTTTCCAAAACCTCTGAGGTATTTGCGTCGCTTGGTGATTGCATTCAAGCAGCGGATTTGTCTCGCTTTGCGTAGCTCCATCTTGGTTGTTCAGTCGCGGTCCGCTCGCGAAATTGTTCAAGTTCAGAACATTGATACTTCAAGAAGTATTTGTGCACGAGTCATGTAAAAAGACATCAGCAATACATTGGTACGTCGTATTGACGTTTATATGCCATGCTACCACGTCGGTCGCCTGCGGGCTGGCGATACTGCTATGTCTCCCTCACTTGAGCAAGCTCGATCTGATAACTTGTAGGTTATGAACCAGACGCCACCGGCCGACACATGGATCATATGGGGCAAAGCAACGAAGTTGCCAACACAGGAGAGTTGAGTATACAGTTTTGGTGACATACGCCGCGGTCCTTCTCCGTATCAGCTGCGTCCCCAACTCATTGTTCCCTTCTGCAGTCCTTTTCGTCATGCTGCTTTCCAGAGCTATGTTTCGTTCGTTTAGCTTGTCATTTTGTTGACTAAATATGTATTCTTCAGTTTGCATTATTTGATGATCGCAAGGTGCTACAAGTCGATGCAATTTGCCCACTTGCTTCAACTTCGCACGTTACTGGGGGCCTCATTCTTTCTCATCGCACTAACTGATGACTCAACTTATCTTCGGACGGTAGAGAGGCACGAGTATCACGCGTTCATCTGCGTGCCATGCCTTCCTTACCAAATCGGCACACCGGAGTATGAAGTCGTACAAACGTTTCCTGTGTTGCGACAGTCCCGTTCTACCTCTGCTCGCATCCTATGAGCGCACTTGTCCCCGGTGCAAAACGCACACCAAAATTTCTTTCAAAAACAAGTCAATATCTAGTTTCTCTGACACTTTAATCTTACAGAGAGTATCTAACACTGAATTTCGAAGCGATGCAGCTTTAGCCAACGGTGGTGCCTCCTGAGTTTCGGATCGAAGTCTTCACACTAGGTCCTATCGGGTTTTTGCTTCTGCCATCTCACTGACTTACCCATGACTGTCGTGCTGATTTGCTTGTATACTCAACACGGAGTTCGTACGATTTACTTTTAGCTTTGTGCTAAGCGTCACATGGCACGGGTTATGCAGTCGCACAACTTAACGTGTGCATTTTACTGTTATATGTGTGATAGTGTTGATTTCGATGCGTGGTTAGTTATATCGAGTAGAAGACGTCTCGCGCTTACTTTGACCCATCTCCACGCCTTCGTGGGCTGGTTTGATCGCACATGATCGGCACTTTTTATACATTGCTGGTGGCCGAATGGAACGCTCTGTGCTTTAATTGATTTTACCTAAGGCACATGTTTATCATACACCTTCACCCTGGTGCTTGTATCGCGAAAGAATGTGAACCTCTATTTCGTGTCGTCCTTTGTCTAGAAAATGGACTCGCAGAGAAGAAGCCGATTTTTATCGTGTGGTTTCCAGTTTTGGAGTCGAATTCACCCCGGTCTCTCTGAGTGAATCAGAACGCAAGGAATCCAAAACCCCAAACGCCGTGAAACGCCGGTACAACTGGTACAATTTCCGGCAACTGGCAAACATCACCCGTAAGACTGATGACGCGTTGACAGAGTATTTTCATGCATTTTACCGAATGTGTCAGCGGGTTTGCAAACGGCCACTTACCGGTGAGTTCCTGTCATCTGACATTCCGTTGCACCTCGTCACTGTAGCCTCTTCTTAACCAGTGTCCTAACCGCGGTGCACACCGCTTCATCCCCTCTTTCTATCGCAGAGTTTGTTGGACTCGCTTCCACCGCTGCTACAACAACTACTTCCGGTTCTAGTCCTTTTGGTGCCGAAGTTCCGGTCGAACCGATCTCGGAAGAACGCGCTAATCGATGCTTGTCTCGAATCGATTTACTTGCTCGTATTCGTAACGAGATACTCACCCATCCTCAATTGCTAAAGCGTCTTTCACTTTGTCAACGTGGCTCTGAGATCCCCGGCTGGTGGATTCCCGGCAAACATGACGGCGAGTTGTTGCGAGCAGCGGCCAAGTGCGTTTTTTGTTTTTAACACATATATGGCCGGATTACTTCAACTGATGTTATAACTCTCTCGTACATAGCAGTATCTTTTGATCAAATCAACAATGCTCGCATTCTCATTGCATTTGCTTTCTCTGTATTCATAACTTCACAGTATTATAGCGATTATGCGAAAGAGACAGTAACTATCCGCCTCCCGTCGACCTTTGGTACATTTTTATCAGTCTATTGAATGTTGATTGCCTTTTAACGGTAATGTTAACAATTATTTATTCCTCACATTTAGTGCGACACTCCTGCGAAGGCGTGTTCGATGAATCCGATGCTTTCCTTCAAATCGATAAAAGCGAATTTGCAAACAAAAGCTGGCACCTAAATTTTGGACAACCAAAGATATAACATATTTACCATCCAATGAATACTGATCACTAAAAACATAGCGCTACATGACATTTACATCTGCGTTGCTCCCGAATGTGGTTACTTATTACCGCGCACTGTCGATGCAGTTCCGTTGTATGATGAAATCTTAATCCGGTACGTTACCTAATCCACAGAATAGGCGGCTGGGAATTTCTTGCATTCCGACACCTATTTACCTCAACTGTTTTCTCGGACATACTGTTCCGGTATTTCACTACTAGACCTTCAAAGCATAGAGGATGAGCTATCCCCGTTAGGTCCGATATCACAACTCGTATCGGTGCTCGCGAGTGCTGCTTGGTGTGTGCACTTGCAGCAGTGACCCCGGATGTAATATCTGACGCGTCCTAATGAGGTCAATTTTAAACCGACGATATGACAGGGCGTATAGCTCCAGTCTCTTGAATCGGTCTTCGTACAACATACCCCCTGAATTGGGGATGAGCTTGCTGAGGCATGCTGAACACTGCGCCTCGCCACCACTGCTCAAACAATAGGTAGCTGTACCGTATTCTAGCATTGGTCTCATGAGGAAGGAGAAGACATGGGTGATAGTCTCTCTAGGTCTAGTGCAGAAGCTTCGTTTGAGCGCCCAAAGCATGCGCAGTCCGTCTCCGTATAGCCTGTTTGTGTTGTCCATGGACTTCTAATCGCAACTTGAGAGTACACGTAGGTCCTTCACGTAAAGTTTGGGATGTAGCGGTTGGTCGGCCAGAGTGTACTTACGCCCATCACCACTCTTCTCCAGACTCACAGCAAAGGATTTGACTAGATTGACTGGTAGTTCGACCTCTGCATACCACATAGGGACCCGGTCAAAGTCATGCTGAAGTGCATCGCAGTCGTCGGGCACATCAGTTCCTCATCATCATTACACATAAGCTGAAGGTGAGAAACACACTTCAACTATTGTTCCGCAGTACATAAAGATAAGACATACGAGAGAGCAAGATTCTGGAAATTGTAGAATGCTACAGAAACAAGCGACAGACCACTTAGTAACATAGTATGCGGCAAGAGGGAGATCTAGTTTGGGGGGTAAGATAAGCGGGCTGGGAGGGACAAAGAAACTCACAACACAAACGCCATTGCTGTCGGCTCCTTGCCATGTCAACTAGTGTATCCAACGTGTTCATCGTCCTTCGGGCTCCAACCCGGTAGTCGAGAGGCACTAACAGACGCCAACTTCGAAGCAAGGGTTTCCCTTCCTCTTGACCAAGTCATCGCTTGATCTACCCTCTTCTTCCATCCCCACTCCGGCCGCGCAAACAACGCACTATATGGGAGTCGATGTGCTGACATGCACAACACGTGGCCTAGCCATCGGAGCCTGGTACGTGATATAATCGTCCTGGGTGGTTCAATCACACTTCCTGTACCAAATACACGACGTCGAATACGCTAATTGCTCATGCGATGCTCCCACCAGACATGAGCTAAGCTGCGAAGGCAGCGACAATCGAACGTGAGTGGCCTCTTTATGTCTGTCGACTTGATGGGCCAGTTTTCGCGACCATATATATATATATATATATATATATATATATATATATATATATATATATATATATATATATATATATATATAGTACACAATCTGTGGTACAGATATTGTGCCATCGGAATCATGGCTGAATAGGAAAACAGTTTGAATAACAAGAAAAGAGCAACAACAACAAACGCTTTTTTGTCTAGTTTACCACTCACAGTTTTTGAAATTTTTTCAGTTTGTTCTTTTTGGGGGGGGAGGAAGAAGGGACACCGCAACACACCGATGCACACGTCTGCCTGACCATACAGTAGGGTTGAACGAACGGTTGCATTGTAAACTCTGCTCTTTAGGGCGAGAGTGATATCGCGCCGGCGCCACAGATGGCGGAGATTGGCAAAAGCGCCTCGAGCTTTTGCTATGCGGTTTGTGATCTCATCTTCCGTTCCATTGGCGTTGATATAGCTGCCTAGATACTTGCATTTCTCGACGACTTTTAGCTGGGGTGGGTCCCTGCCAATGTTGAAGAAGTACTTTGCATTTCGACGGTGCAAAGCATAGTCCAAAACGACTGACAGCCAGTGCTAGTTTGTCCATGGCCACTTAGCACGTCTGAAAGGTGTCACATATAAGGGCAATGTCGTCGGTGTACTTCAAGTCAAAAGTCGTTTACCTGGGAGCAGCTCCATGCCTTGCAGGTCGTGTCCATTGAACGCAGTTTCCATTGTCTCGTCGATGGAGAAGTTAAAAAGGAAAGGTGACAGCGGGAATCCTTGTCTCCCACCGCTGGAGCTATTGAAGGGTGGCGACAGCTTACCGTAAGCCCTCACTCTGCTCGAACTATGCGCATACAGCGCTCTTATGACATTTACGTATTTCTCGGGCACACCCTTCCTCAGTAGGCAGTCCCAAAGCGCACATCGATCAACCGAATCGAAAGCACGTTTGATGTCGAGGAACATGACTACGGTGGCTCGCTGATACATGCAGCGGTGCTCCAACAATTGATGTAATGTGGATATGTGATCAATGCAGTCGCGATTTCGACGAAACCCGGCTTACTCTTCGCGAATCTGGCTTTCACGTGTGCCAGAAAGTCTACGAAGAAGGACGGAGGCGAGTAACATAGAAACAGTTGAGATCAGACTGATCCCTCTATAATTGCCGCATTTGGAACGTGAGCCACCTTGAAAATTGGACTTTATCCAGTGGTCTCAGTCTGCTGGGACAGTTTCATGCCCCCATAGTATCACAAGTAAGTTGTGTAGATCATCTAAAAGAGCAGATCCCCCGAATTTGAAGAGAGCTGGAGGGCTTCTATCTGCTCTTGCGGCTTTATTTACCTTCATTTGTCTGATTTCACGTTCGACTTCTGCATGTGAAGGTGGGTCCGTGGGGACTGCCCAGGGAGGAGGACGATCGATGGCCGGAATAGAAGCTGGTAACTGGATGATTAAGCTGTTTTCCAAAGTGTCAGGTCCAACGCTCCAAGCGTTTTGATAAACTGTGGATCGGCCGTCCACCCTCATCACGTATGGTTTCGCTAACACTAGTTCTGCTTTTGCTCGTTCCGCGTAACAGTCGGATGCACAATGAGACCACCAGGCTTCCGGTCTCTCTTCAGGCTAGCACGTAGTTTCGACCTGAGAGAGCTTTGCAAGTCTTGTTGTGTTCACTTCCAGCCGGGATGTGCCGTCAAATATCTACAAGTTTCAGAGACTGCATAGAAATCCAATGTCCAGACTGGCAACTTGATTTGCCACATGATAACTTGCCTGCTGCTAATAGCGTCTGGTGAATATGCGACCAGTGCTTCTCTACTGTGTTCAAAGAGCGTTTGCTCAACCCGGATGCCAGCGTATTTGGATACGCATTAAGGACATCTGGCTTCGTCAGCTGGCATGTATCTATGCGCTCACAGCGTCGCCGCATGCACCCACTGAAGCGAACTGTAAGATCGGCACAAACGATTACGTAGTCAGAGTCCACGCTCGTGCTCCAAATTGAGTGACAGTTTTGCCCACAGCCTCTCCAGCGGTGACTGATCGCGATGTGGTCGAATCGCATCCATGGCTGGTTTGAAGCGGGTGGACGCCATATCACTCTGCTGCGTGTGCCGTGTCGGAAGTTAGTGCTCGCGAGAAACTGATGAGCATCTTCCCACAGGTGTAGCAACCGCTCAACGTTGTCATTACGGAAGATCATACTTTCTTGGCCGTCCAGATGAAGCTCATCGGTGAACAGTTTTCCAATTTGGGCGTTCAGATCGCCAGCCTGCATCACAGTATCCGTACTATTCCTGTGACGAACGAGCTCGTTCAGTTGCTGATAGAATTCATCTTCCACCGAATCAGCGCTGCAATTTGTGAGCACATATGCCGCAATAACGAACAGGCACTGTTTACCTCAGCGCGATTTCGAAGCTCTGAACGCGCCAGCCAATTTAACGGCACATCCAACGGTTGACTGGGATCTAGTCAACCAGAGCAGCTTCAACCCGGGGACTCAGAACAATACCCACATCGGTTTGACCAGTATTTGAAGCTGCGTTATCTCCAGCTAAAAGCAATGAGAACGCGCCGCCAGTATCACTTGTAGGGGCTCGCAGGCTAATCACGAAACTCCCATCTTGCAGGCGGGTGCCCGATAGACAGCAGATGTCGATCGATAGAGTCTCTAGCGTCCGGGCTAGCGCTTCTTGTTGACCAATTTGCAACACAGTGCGCACGTTGAGACATGTCAGTCTTAGCTAGGATCGGGGGCTCCAAAGAGAAACGGATGAACTGACATTGTCCGCTTGGTTGAACATGAACTTGTCAACGGGACTGGGGCGACTCCCTGCGATTACGTGTGAGTTGAAACTAAAAGACAAACGACTACTGAAGCAAGGTGGGGGAGGGCCAAGAATTGGGGGGATTGAGAATGGGGGGATAAAAGTGAACTTGGAGTGAGACGATAGTGATGAAAAAGCGCAAGTGGGGGAATAAGAAGATAGGAAGGCTTGTGCGCCAGTGTCCTTACCGCTATCCACCCTGCTCGATGCAGCAGATAGGGCGCCGTTGATTATCCTCTGTGACAGCCAGAGCATCAAGGTATC